TGATGGGAAAAGGGAGTTTAGCAGCGCCGGTTTCAAGTAAGAGGATGATAAAATAGCTGCGGAACTATTTAACTACAGAATTTGAAGGAAAAACAAAGTGTTTAGCTGCGAGGCCGTTACAGAGCTGGATTTAGACACTTTAGAGTCATCGGAAAATATTGAATTTGAGATTTTCTGCATCTGCCCCAGTCAAAAGTACTCAATTATGAGTGTGTGTGTGTGCGCTTTTATTGTAGCACATTAAGAACTTCATTTGGCATGTTCTGATTTGTTGGATCAGTAATGCTAAAAGTGACAAAAATATGTTTTTATAAAGGTAGGATTCAACGTTTTAGCTCTGGCGTAAGTTAAATGTTGTTCAATAGAACAAAGTTTAGGTTGGAGTGAAGCGGGGTTGGTAGTGTGAATTGTTCTAAGGTTCTAGTTATACTGAAAACAAACGACAGACAGTGCAGAGCTCTAACAAGGACAGAAGTGTGTGTGTTGTGTGTGTCTTCACATACTGTATTCAGAGGGTGTGTTTTTCTTTGAAACTGGGGAGAAAATAAAAAGTCAAACCCTTTCATCCCTCTATGATTAAATACTTGTTAGAGGGAAAATACTGAGTGGAATCTCACTGCAGTAAAAAGCCTTTTATTGTTTAATCCTCACGGGATTTAAAAATTCTCACATCAATACCGCTGACCTGGACTACAGTGTTCAATTTAATCCTCATTGAAACTGTTTGGGAAGTATTAACACTCCTTATCACATGCAAGAATATATTGAAGTCAGGAAAATATTATGATTTTATATTATATTTAATGTCTGACTCGTATCACAAAATATGGTTTTGGCAAAAGAAAGCTCTTGCTCACATTTACTGATATGGTAACTCCAATTAAAGTTTTTTATAACATTAAAGATGATAAATCTAGCAAAAAACTAGAAGCTCAAACTCAAAACAACTTTTCAACTATCAAAAATGATTTAGTAGTTGATAAGTTAATGCAGCTTTACTCTAATGAATGCACAGAAAGTAAGTTAAAAATATTATTCTTTTACAGACCAAAAGAGAGAAAAGGGAGAATTATTTTTATATCACGATGTTCTTTGTGTTTTATCCTGTGTTTTAGAGCCAAATAATTAGATTTTAGACAGTAATACAAATGTGTCCCCCAAAATGTTGAATGTTGAAAATGTATAAAAAGTTACATATTATTTTACAGTTACATATAGTTACTTTTTATTTTAATTAGCAGTTTTATAATCTTTCCTTTTTGTTTTGCTTCGTTCGCTCTGCTGACACACACACACACACACACTCTCCTACAGGTTGATGGTGACACTACAGTTATATATGTACATGAAAGGTCTTCTCCAGGAGCTTCTCTGCATCATTATGAATTCCCACGGACCCTGCAGCCTCAGTTTGCCCCAGTTTGACTGTGAGCCACAGTGGAATGAATGTTTTCTTTGTCCCCACACTGTCACGACCAGGGATTAAAGCAAGGTTACCGAGAATTCTACGGACAAAAATAAACAACTCAACTATAATTTCTCCGTCTCTGGGTGCCGACTCTTTTTCAGCTGGTCACATTTTAGAATTATCCCCCACACAGACCTATTCAGCAGCTCAGATACAAAGTTCTGCGACACCGTCTGCAGTGTTTTATGCCTTTTGTTTCAGGTACAAGATCCAGATAAATCAAGCATCAAAGGTCATCAAGCTCCATCTACTGAGAATATACTGCTGCTCATTATAATTCAAAGCAAACGCACTCACCATAGCCTACAACAATGAAGGAACCCTTAGAGTAATTCTGTTCGAGACTGAAGACACATCACAATATTCATGATGTGAAAAAAATACATGAACTTTTGCAAATATCACAAGATTTAAGGTGAAGATGAAGATAGATATAATTAACAAAATGTCAAAATAAACTATAACATTTCACTTTCACTTTCTACAAACACAAAGACTGACATACTAGAAAGAATGAATGTGCAGATAAACAAAAACAACTTTGCAATTTGGATTATATATTCTCAAATGGTCACGAAAAAAATATGTTTTTTGTCTATATTGCCGAGTTGCAGTGCAACACGAAATCACATTGCTGAAGCAGCCTGAATTATTTCAAGGCGTGCTGGCGCCATCTTTTGGTCAGTTGCATTAAAGACGGAAAGCCAAAATTATAGAACAGTATAATTCAAGTACATTTCTGCTCCTAACACGTATATGACACGGAAACATTTTCAAATTGTTTTAGCTTCGATTTTCAATAACAACGAATTTAATGCTACAATAAATTATTAAATAAATAAGGTGACAGCTTTTATATGAATCTGCTTTTATTATTTTTATTCTGATCTTATGCTAAGGTTTTCCTATTTATTACTAATGAAGGCCATAGCATTAAATGATCGTCAATATTGTTTTCATTTGATGGTTAGTGAATTTACTTAAAAATATAATGCGTATAAAAATAAATAAATAAAGGTCGGCTCATTTATATTAAAATGGTTGGCTTTGCTAACTTACCCTGATTTTTTTTACATATATGTCAGGGTGGTCAGGGTTATAAAGGTTATCAGAAGTAGATTTCATTTCAGTACAAATTAAAACATTGACCATTTTGTTGAATAGACACATAAACTCAACCGGATTCATTTAAATGTATCCATATGATCAATAATCAATAATATATGTTAACTCACCTTTATCTTCTCTCTTTTGAAAGTAAAGGCTGCAAAGAGAAAGAAGTTGATGTTAACAACGTCATAAAAACACCGGAACCCAGACAAATCTTCGGGGTCAGTCCTTCGGCCCCATCTTGTGGTCAAATGGTGCAAATACATAATACTCCTTGTATTCTCAAAAATTCAGAAGAAACTGGACGTCTTTAAGAAACCTAAGCGAGTTCAGTGTCCTGCTTGTTTTAGAATGAAATTAAATTATATTTAAAAAAAGAAATTAAAGTATATTAGGAGGATTATAACATTTTTAACCAATATATTTTAGTTAGGAAGTTACTAAGGAGAAGGACTACATTTAGGACTAAAGTTAATAAAGTTCATAATATTTTTTTTAAATTTGTGCCATCTAAAGTTTGTTATTAATTTCAGTTCAAAATTAATTAAAACATGCCTTTGGAGCAACTATCTTGTAAGTTGCTTTGGATAAAAGCCTTCGCTAAATGCATTAATGTGAATGTAAATTGTTAAATTTACCCATAAATTCAGCCTGTTTGTTTTAATGTGTCCATATGGACCTTCTGGACATATGCCGACATTTCAGCTTCGTGAAACTGACAGATGTGCAGCATTTAATAAACTGAGCAGCCAGTAAAATTTCATGAGCAGCCATAAGAGTATAGTTAAACAAAATGAGGTTTTAAAGGTCCGGTGTGTAACATTAGGGAGTTTTATTGGTATAAAAAACACCTACAGGTATGACTAGGGTTTTAAAAACATAATCTGTACAAAATGAAAATCATTTGGTTGTTTTTTTTTTTTAGAATATTTGAATTCACGTATGAATAAAAGAAGGTGAATTTTGAGTTTAATTCGCCTTGATCTTTTATGTTGAAGTGCTGAACAGCATTGCAATAAAAACAAACTGCTTTAACAAGTCGTTTTTGCACGTTTTAACTACTTTTTATACGTTTGGACACCTTAAAGCCATTTTTAGAACCTGGCAGTTTTACACTGGCTTATTTATCGTTTGTATTTGGTTAACTTTTAGCTACATATGTTTTACAGTATGTGTTACACTTAAGTGTATTCTAATGTTCTGGCTTTTTTTGTAATTTTGCGTGTGCTAACTTGATAGGTGGACGGAACGTTACTTCGCTACCACTGTCAAGTCGTAAATTTGTCAAGACATAAAACAACTAAATAAAACAACTTTAAAATATATGTACATAAAGGTGTTTTGCTTAACATTTCTCAGTAAAATATGCTTGAACTTTTATTCTTCTTAACCTACCTCCATATCCGTCTTCCTTAAACACAGTAAGGGATGTTTACGTCTACGACGTTTCAAAATGGCGCCGACCCGGTGGCTATTCAAAAAAAAAAACACGGCAGTAAATAATAAAAATTGTTATTTAAAACTGTAATGTCAAAAGCAATATATAAAAAAGTAGAATGACTCACCTTTTTGACGTTTAGTGACAGTTGTTTAATAAAAATACCTGTAATGACGTGCGGTGAAACTTCTGGAAAATTCAGTATGACGTAAGAGGCTAATTTGACCATTGAAAACACCTGTTACAATGACGCTGCCTTCGCGTCCCATTCGGTGTTTAATGCCATATCACCAAGTCAGTTCAAGTGATTCTGATGCTGGACAACAGTATTATTACAAAATTATTTTACAAATGAACAAAATGATCATGTGACTATTAGCTATATTAATGTTAGTACCTCTAAATTACAAATATTGTGGCAAGTTCCAAAGTTTAAATCCCTATCTGCACTTGAAGTGTCTCACAATGATAATATTTCCGATGTTACGTAAACGCACCATAGTGACTATACAGTGTAATACTGTTATACTTCTCATACCTGTGCGTTTTCTTACTGTTCTTCACGTGGCCACTATTGCATACTTCACACGTGCATTCACAAGCCAAATACTGCACAGAAAATGTTGTATTTAAATACAGATTACAATAGAAGAATATGTCAAAACGAGTATATGTCAAAATGAGTTTAGTTTCACATAAAAACATCTTCTTTAACCCAACAATTGTTAACCCGACTTACCTTCTCTATGCACATTCCCATGTGGTTCTTTAAAACAACAGTCAGCAAATATGAAGACAGGAAAAAACGTTTTTTGTTTTTTTTTGTTTTTGTTTTTTACAAAAGCAATTAGCCTTTTTTAATCTTACATTGCATTGAAAATTTACATAATAGATTCATACATTTTACAAATAATTTCATCATAAAAATATATTTCTGTACAAAACACTTTTTTATTCTATATTTCATCTTTTCTTCTCAAATGGTGACTATTTTCCAATGTCCCCCCAGGGCAGGAACGGCTTTGAGTCTCTCTAATCACGTGGGTCTTATTGCGGTCAGACGGTAGGAAAAGCGTGTGGTGACATAAACAGAAGCTTGAGAAAAAGAGTGTTAATGACAGGGGGAGTCTGGTGGAATTTGGTAGGCACTGTGTCAGATCCATACCGAAAATTAACTAAAACACAACAGCAAATAACTCAACGCAAACTGTCTATATCGATGTTCCTGTGAAGGTGCATTTTGGGGAAAATGTGAATGAAAAAGAAGCCACAGTTGCCATTACTCTAAAATCAGCCATGGTCTTTACCGTCAGCAGGTCATTGTTGGTGCCAGTGGCCAAATATGGCACAATTTCTTGTTTCTTTCTCTTTTTTCTAAATGTTTCTACTCACTTTGGCATCATGGCCTCCAAAAACAATATCACCAATCATCAGGAGAGGGACCCCAACTCTCTACATCTGTTTCACCTCAAACCAGACCCTGATAGAAAAAAAAAAAACATGTTTTAAAAGTGCAGCAAAACTAAAATACAGTGACATATGCACACTGATAAATGTTACCAAATGCAAGATATTTAAACAAATGTTACAAGATATGTAACTTTTTTAAACTCAATCCACACACCAAGAAAATACACAACACTCAAAAAATTAAGCCAAACACAATTTTAAAAGTGGTTAATTTACGGGACATTTAAAAGTTTAAAAAGGCCAAAAATGTGTGCAACAGCAGCATCTAGTGGCAGAAAACTGTAATTGACTGTGTTATATCAATTACTTCACCTTTTTTAC